CCATGGGACCTTATTTCGGAAAAATTGTGTATTGAAGTCAATGGAGAGAGAAAGATTATTTTCGATCCCGTTTGAATTGTGCCACGAATTACATATATGATGTTTGTCAATTTTTAAAAGATAATTTTGCAAGTACAAAAAAAAAAAAAGTGTCGTAAAACTGTGAAGTAACACTTTTTTTTGTGTGAAACCGCTCAATGAACTACATCTCCCGTCCCGCACCACACACCAAGACGGCTGTCACGTTGGCACATTTCACTTCTTTCTTTCAGAATGAGGCGAAAAGTATTAAAAGAAGTGAAAATCATTACAAGTCTGGGAATGTTGAGAAATGTGCACACACAAAAGGGGAGTTAGTCGGTTCCGTAAGAGACAGCATGCGGGACCGGGATTCCGGGATTTGTTTATTTTTTAAGATTGACAAACATCATATGTGTAATTCGTGGCACAATTCAAACGGGATCGAAAGATAATGTTTCTCTCCCCATTGACTTCAATACATAATTTTTCCGAAATAAGGTCCCATCGGTAGATGGGCGGGACTTCACCTCTATTACTACTAATAAGTCCTGAGATAGGTAATGATGTTATCTATCTTGTTGCAAGAAAGCAAATCAGTTACATTTCCAAAATGTCAAACTCCTGCTTTAACAGAAGCTGCTTCCATGTGTTTGCCACAGGTCTTCTCCGCGTTGTTGAATGCAGAGGTGAAGATGGCCGCACATACTGTTTCTTATGTCACTGCTGCCGCATCAGAGCCAACGAGAATGACATAATTGATCACCTAACCAGAACTTCCCATCTCATCAACTACTTGGTATGTTTGTTGTGGAACAATGATTGAAATGAACAAGAGCATGAATACTACATCCAAAGGCTGTATAGAAAATGCTAAGTAAAACTTTTGTTTTGTGTAGATGGAAACTCATCCTGAGCAGGTTGAGGTTATTCTGGCAGATATTAATGACGACTATCAGCTTCTCGTATCACTGGCCATGGAGGTGGAGAAAGAAGAGGGCAGAGGGGAGATGAAGGTAATGTATATTTTCTTTTACTGTATTTACAGATTATCGTGCCTTGGGAATGCTAACCTATTTGTTCATTTATTTACGATAAAGGTTTAGAGTTCACTTGTACTCATTTTCCATCGAAATGTTTAAACATGTGATTTTTCCCAGGTGATCAAGACACCAGAATCACTCGGTATTCAACTGACTGGCAAAAGTTACCACTGGTGTAAGTACAGATGCACGCCCATCCTCTTTTTTATTTTTTGCCCTTAAACTATTCACCTCAGATTCATTTCTTTAAAACGTGTGGTGTTCTTCTAGTTTGAAAACTCAACTTCCTCCTGACTTTAAAAAAAGAAAAAAGAATGCATGCAGTAATCCCCATGAAACCAAGTTGACCCCAATCCTCAGTTCTTCATGAGATGAGATAAAAAGTAGAACCTTTCAGCCCTTGCGGAAGATAACCCTTAGTGAGCAGAGTGGAAACCAGCTGGAGCTTTACTTGAAGTTTATTAAAACTTGTACAAGGAAAACAGGGTGAGCCATATAAGTGAATACCTATCAATTCTGGAGCACAGCCTTTCCCTAGGGATATTAAAGAGCAACTTGCAGGTTAGACACACCAGTGAATAAATGTGTAGGAAAATGATGTATGCACTAGATTTTCAAAAAAATATACAGAAATCTACACTACAGTGACATCTGGCGTCGTTTTTGTAAGACATTTT